CGCGCAGCTTGCATTCTCGGAGGCACTGGGCCCTGTCGGGGTCGATGACATCGAGGGCTGCGGGGGGCTGCTCCAACTCCTCCGGCACCGCCATCGGTGCGTCATCGTATGTGGGTGGCCACAACACGTGGAACCTCCCCATGATCATAGACGAGGCCGGAGCCGAGCTCGCGGGCGGCTTCTCACTGGCAAGAAAAAGAAGGCACTCCAGCGGGTTGGACGCGCCGCAAAACTGCGCACTGAGCCTCGGCCTGGGCCGCGCTCCTGTCCGCGCGAGGCGGCGTCGGCGACGTCGTCTCGCGCGTGCCGTAGAGCTCGTTCAAGGCGGCGATGCACTCAACAGCCCTCGGGCCCTTGGCGCGCCGCCGACGAAGCCGCTGACGAATGGAATGAGAAAGGTGCGCGGCTTCTGGCGTCGCCTCGGCAAAAATTGGGAGCGGGAGCGGCTCCCTGGGAGCGAGTCGCACATCGCCTCCTGGTGCCACTGGGGGGAAGCAGGGATGGTGGCGAGCCAAGGGGGCGGGCGTGCCCAACCGCCGCCCCCGGGGGCAATTGCGCGTCATGAGGCTCCTGCGGAATGGGCTGCCGCCGAGCCGTTTTTGCCGCCCGTGGCCCTGCCCTTGGCCCTCGCGATCATCTCCTCCCTCGCCTTGCGCGCCTCCTTTGCGATGGCAGACTCCCGCTTGAGCTGGTCCGCCACGCGCGCCGACAAGCTCGGCGCGAAGGCTGCGCCGTCAGCCCTTCGACTCCAGCCCATGAACTGGCCGGCCGCGCTGTAGTCGGACTGGCTCGGCGAGATGCGGTGAGCCTATTTGATCAGCGCCAACCTGCGCGCCCGGAGCTCGAAGGACATCGGCGACGGGCAACTAAGCTGGTCCTGCATCACCGCCGCGTCGAGGACGCGACTCCACACCTCAATCTCGTAGACGCTCCTGTCCCCTGCTGGCACCTTCGACAGCCTTACCCAGTTCTTATGCGCGTGGAAGGCGCTGTTACCATCATCTCTCACGCACTTCATGTGCCACAGACCGTCCTCAGTCCTTGCAGGTCCCACCCGCCTGGGGCCGAGTCCTCCGACGAGCTGGCCGCGGCGTCATCCCAAGTCCTGCGACGTTCTCCCCTGGCACCCATCTTGACGGCCATCGTGCGCACATCCCCGCGAGACAGCACCAGGGCGTCGGGCGGCGAGAGCTGCGCCACGCTGAGCGACTGCCTCCCCGCCTGCACGATTGCCCTGTCCATCGTCACCGCCGAGCCCACAGGGGGCCGGTGGCACGCAAGGTCGCCCACCGCGCGGTCCTCCAGCGCATGCCAGCTCAAGCCCGCAGGGGGCGCCAGCATGCCACCTGCCGCAGGCGCCGCCGCGCCAGCAGCTCCCACCAGCTCAGGCGGGATGCACAGCGCGGGGGCTGCCGCCGCGCCGATCGCCGCCGCCAGCCCCGCCAGGCGCGATCAAGCCACCCGCCGCAGCAGCGGGGGCGGCAGCGCCAGGGGCCGCCATCGCCCCGCCGGCAGCGGCGGGCAGAAGCGCTCCCGCGTCAGGGGCACCGCTTCCAGCAGCTCCAGCGCCTCCACCAGCGGCTCCTGCGTCAGGCGGATGGGCAAAGTGGAGCGCCAGCGGCAGCGGCGAGCAGGCCACGCCCAGCGCGCGGGCGCCCAGCATCGCGTAGGCGTCGACCATCGGCTGCGGCGGCGCCGCGCGGAAACCGTAGATGTCCGCGGCCACGATCCCAGGCGGCACCTCCAACGCATGCGAGAGCACGATGACGTCGCTGAAGTCGGGGCCCATCGCGAAGCTCTCCTCGTAATGGTCGCGGTCGGGCGTGAGCCCGTACGCCACGCCGGCCCCAAGCCGCACTGCCAACGCCAGCCTCGCGTGGTACACCGCGGGGCCAGGGACGCCACGATACCTCACCCGGAGGAGGTCCCCTGGGCTGAAGCCCGCCATCATGCCTGACGCGGTGCCGAGCGACTCCTGACGAAGCTCAGCTGCGCGCGGGCCTGCTCCTAGAAAGTCAGCTGTGGCGCCTCGCTCTCGCGCACCTGGACCCTAGGACGAGAAGGGACCGTCTCTCCCGTCGGCAGCGCCCACACAGCATCCGCCAAGGAGGCCCCCAAGACCGCCGGCATCGAAGGCGCACCGCACATACAGGTCGCCGCAGGCGGCGGCGGGCACGTGAAGCTCGGCGAGCACTCGGGGCACGGAGTGGTGCCTCCCCAGAGCGCCAGCCCTGTACTGATCCCGCGCGCGAGTTCGAGAACGAAAGCACGGGCGACTTGCATAGCCAACAACAACTTGAGCCACTGCGTCCATGGAACGGACCGGTGCCCTTCAAGACGGCGTGGTTCAACATTCCCGAGCAAGCACATCCATGCACTAACTCCTAATCCCCCCACGTTAACCTGGGCGTTCCCTCCTCTTCGCTTAGATGTTTTCCACGCGCCTGCACCCTGGCCGTGAGGCCGCTGTGTCGCAGCTTCGTCGCCGCGCTCGCAAAACGCCGAGGGAAGAGAGAGTGTGCGCGCGTGCGCGTGCGTGAGTGTGTCCGCAACGGATGCGTCTGGCCGTTTGCTTGACCGCTTGGTGGACCCAACTCGCCGTAGACCAGGCACTTGCATGGCCACGGAAGCCAATTTCGTAAGAGCTACCACACACGGTGATACCTTTCCTTTGCGCGCAGTCTGCCTCTGCGCATGCGCACTGTTGTTCGCTGGCTGCCGTGAGCAGCGCGTCGCAGGAAAACGTGTGTGTGTGTCTGTGAGTGTGTGTGTGTGTGTGATTAGTCTCAGCCGTCGCCGGTTGCCAAGCCACTGGCTCGTGCTGTCTATGTCCTCACTCTGTCGTTCCCTCCTCCTTCCCACCAGTCTCGCATTTGCTTCACGTCCAAGTTCCCGTTGAGGACAAGAGATGGCCGCAAAAAATGTTGCCACCTCTTGGGGGCGCATCTTCTACTTCCTTCCGCCGGCCTTCCGCCAGTTTCCGCTGGCGGAGGTAGCCTCGTTTCACTTCCGCCGCCTTCCGCCGACCCCCCGTCGCCTTCCCCTGAGATCCGACGCAGCGAAACAGACTTGCAGCACCGTGAGAAATCACACCTGGAGCCCCGGACCATTATCTTCCTGCGTCACCCCTCGCGCCGGGTCGACATGTGCAGCTCCCCGCGGGCCCCACAAGGCGGAGACGCCCGGCTCGAGAAACAGTGAGACGCCGGGATCTCAAGGTCCGCCGAGGAAGAGACCTCGCCATCGCTCGGACGTCCATTCCACGTGTTTTTTTGTTCGGTTTCTTGCGTGGATTTTTCGCCAAATGATCAAGGATGCTCCTCGATGGATCTCGCCGAAAAAATGCACACGTCCGAGCGATGCCAGGAGACGGCAACGCCTTCGAGCCTCCAAGGCGAGGACCTTCCGCCAGCATTCCGCTGGCTTCCGCTGGCGGAGGTAGCCTCGTTCTACTTCCGCCGCCTTCCGCCGAGGAAGAGATGGCAACGCCTTTCGATACTCGAAGGACGTCCCACAGATGGGTGGCCAGCCGTGCGGAAAAAGGAACGCCCCCTGCCAGTGCGAGCGCTGTGCGGCCCTCCCCCAGGAGCCCAGACATAGCCGAAAAAAAACGCCATAAACTTCTGGCGCTCCGTGCGGATCTCCTGCATCTGCGCTGGACCCCCCTCCCTGACGCGCGGAGCGCGCCAGGGGTGGCGCCAGAGGCGCCGCCCGGGGGGCCCAGCGCGGATCCCAGAGATCCGCGCGGAGCGCCAACAGCTTACGTTCATGCCGTTTTTTTCGAAGATAATCAAGCGGAGAGGTGGGCGGTTCTGCTCCTTCCCTCGCATACCAGAATCGGCGGCGAGCGAGGGGTGGAAGTGAGAAGGAGAAGGCCTTCTCAGAAGGCGGCGGGACTTCTCAGAAGCCCTCGCACCTTCTGGGAATTGTTCTGTGTCTTCGGTGAAGGTTTAGGACGATGTCCAGAAGGCCGGGTGACTTCCAAGCCGTCTGAGAAGGCCCGCCCCTTATGACTCTCCCCCTGGGCTCGCCGCCGACAGAAGCATTCAGAACACAGCTATTGGCCTTCGGAACTCAGAACTCCCCTTCGGAAGGACACACAGAACGGGAGCACTCAGAACTCCCCCTGGGAAGGACACTCATGGGACCTCAGCCCCGAGATCCCTCGAGTGCAGCTGCACCGAGGGCAGCTGCACCGCGATACGCAACAGCCCCGGGGCGGCCCAGGCCGGGGATCCCGCGCGGGTGGTGGGTCGGTAACCTCTGGGCCGACAGGTTTGCGAAGCTCGGGGCGCCAGAGCATGCCGAGTGTGTGGGTGTGTGTGTGTGTGGCTCGCGAAGGCTCGGCGGCGAGCTCGGGGGGGAGTGAGAAAAGGCGGGCCTTCTCAGTAGGCTCGGATGTCTCCCGGCCTTCTGGAAAGTGTTCTAAGCCTCCCCCGAAGACACAACAACTTCTCAGAAGGCGCGAGGGCTTCTGAGAAGTCCCGCCGCCTTCTGAGACGGCCTTCTCCTTCTCACTTTCCTTCTTAGCTCGCCGCCGAAAGGCGCAACTCCCACTTGGAGAAAAGAAAGGCGTGAAACTGGCACGAAAGGCTCCTCCTCAGCGGCTCTTGCGAACCGTGCCGGGGGGGTTAATCTGGGCCCTGATCGGCGGCTCGATCTTCAGATTGCGTGCCCTCCCCCACCCCGCGCACCAGAGCTAAGAAGAAGAGGCGGGCTGCCTTGGTGCGACAGGGCCTCCATCCCAATCCTTCAAACGGCGCCAATACACGTAATTATGAAACCGCTCAATCTTTCCATTGAGGATGTCGCTTCTTCCGCGACGACTTGATGGGCTGAGGGTCTCTGCTTCCAAAAGTGTGCAGATTTTCGCGGCGGGTTTGTGTCGTCTTTTGACTCTCATCCGCCACCCCTCCCCTCCTCCCTTCCCTCCTCCCCTCTGCCGCCCTCCCCTGAATTATCTGATCCTCCCTGTCTTCGCCCATCACGTCTGGACGCTCCTCAGCAGAGCCCCGCGATGCGAAGCTCCCCTCCGGGATGATACCCAGCGCCGCCGCGCGAGACTTCAGCGACCCCACGATGGGAGTCCCGGCGGCCTGCTTGAAACCCACCTGCAAAGGGCGGCTTGTCTTGCCATAGCACGACGAACGAATGCATCGCGACCGAAGGGAGCTCGCTATGCGTAGGGATTGCGGCGGAAACATGAAGCTGCAGCCCCCCCTCCCTCCCGTCTCTTGCGATGCTTGATGGGATGGGGAGGGGGGAATGCCACCCTCCACAACTGCCCGGAGAGGAGTCGAAACGTCGACACTGGAAAGATGCAGCCGCCCCCACGGTCCTCCCCAGAGAAGCGACAAATCTTGATCCCCCTCGCATGATTTCTTTTCGGGCGCACCCCCAACCTCAATCCCCCTACGACGCAGAAGTAAGAAAGCAAATCATCAGCATTGATGGAGTCAGCCAGCAAGCGGGCATCCACCCACCTCCTCCTCCCCCACCTCCTCCTCCTTCCCCGATACAAGAACCCCTGCCCACCAGCCCCCTCCAAATGTTTGTTTGCATCTCTGATGCTCCTCCGACCGACGGACAGCACCGAGAAGAGATCACACAGACGTCATGCGCGTTCAGCCGCAACAAGAGGAGTTGGAAACATGTGAAGCCGACAACACTGAGTGCAAATCAGGGGGAGTGCTAGCTGCTACAGCACAGCAGGGACTTGATACAGCATTGCATTGCAAGGTGTGCCATTGCACCACGCAAAATAACAAGCCTACACGACCACCCCTTCGGGTGATATGAAGGTGCGGGGGGGGAGGCGGGACTAACGTCTCACTCAATCGATCCCACATTGATCAAAGTCTCAATATCACAACAAATCTCCCGATTGATCTCACAATCGATCCCACGATCGATCTCACAACAGATATCTCTACCGATCTCACAATCGATCGCACTATCGATTTGACACTCACACGCGCTCTCGATGTCACATGCGATCCCACGATCGATTTCAAACTAGATCGCACGATCGATCTCCCATTCGATCCCACCATCGATCTGACAGTCGAACTCACTATCGATCTAACGTGCTGACTCACTATCGATATCACAATAGTTCCCAGTATCGGTCCCAGTATCGCTCTCACAGTCGAGATCACCATCGACATCACTATCGGTCCCACAGCAATCCAAGAAGCGACCCCACAATCGATATCAATATCGATATCAGTGCCGATCCCACTATAGATCCCACGAACGATCTCATCGTGAATTCCACAACAAATCGCACGATCGGTTTCACAGTAGATCTCACGACCGATCTCACCACAAATCTCATTATCGGGAGGCGCGCCTAAGTGTATCACTTCGCGTATGTGCGTTCGATATTTGCGCAGGGTTGTTGCGTAGTGTGTTTGCGTAGTGCTTGTGTGTTGCATGTTCGCGTCATGTTGTTGCGTCGTGGTGTCGCAAAATGAATTTGCGTATTGCGGCTGCGAAGTTCTATTGCGTAGAATGTTTGCGTCTTGTCTTGGCGTAACCTTTTGGCGTCGTGCACCTGCGTTGTATAATTACGTAAAGTTCTCGTGCAGGGTATTGGCGTCACGATCCGTCCCCCGCCACCGACGGGGCATCGATCTCAAATCGGTCTCACGATCGAGCTCACCACAGGTCTCAGAATCGACCTCAATAAGATCTCACTATCGATCTTAGTATTCAATCCACAGACGATCTCACTTTCGATCTCACTATCGACCTCACTATCGCGCCACCGACGGGGAACCTGGGCCACCGACGGGGTATCGATCTCACAATCGGTCTCACGATCGATTTCACAGTCGATCTCACCACACATCTCAATATCGATGTCACTATGGACCTCACTATCGATCTCATTATCGATCTCACTATCGCGCCACCGGCGGGGCACTGTCGCGCCACCGACGGGGCAGCCCCCCCACCGACAGGGCACCCCCGCACCACCAGCGGGGCACCCCCGCACCACAGGCGGGGCACCCCCGCACCACCGACGGGGCTCTCCCGCACCACCGGCGGGGCACCCTGGGCCACCGCGCGCCCGGGTGCGGGGCTTTCAAACGGCTCCACGGCCCTAGCCACAGCGGTATCATGCCTGTCGCGCGCACACGAAATTTCGCCTCGCCCGCACGCACGACACGAACACGAAACCGAAACCGATTTCCTGGTGGGGGGGCTCTCCGTTCCACTGCGACCTCCCCCCCCGACCTCTGTAGACGTACGCACATATTCTTGCACTCTATAGAATTGCATCTTGAAGCCCCCCACGAGATCCGGGGGAGGGGGGATCACGCCGATCCCCCCGTCTCCGAAGCCCCCCAGGAAGCCCCGAGACTGGCTGGCAGTATCCAAACAAACGCCCATGAGGTTGCAAAAGCCTTCAAGAAAGCCCGAGAACGCTGCAAAAGGCAAGATGTCCTCAAGACGGTCCAGGAAGCTTTTGTTTCACCCGGACAGAACACCTGGGCGACACAACCCGAAGGGGGGTGCCCAAGGTGCCCGCATGAATTCACATGCAGTCGGGCCTCGCAACACGAACGGCGGCACGGACCCGCCCCAGGCGTTATCCGCGCCGCCGTTGCGAGGTGCCTCGAGATGCCACCCCGAGACACGGCCACCGGCACCACCCCCACTTGGCCGCTGGCCTCAAGCAGCGGAGGCTCCGCTGCCCAAGGACTTAAGTTCCCGCGCCCCCCACGTCGGGGGACCCCTTCGAGTAACCCCATCGGGCCTCTCAGGGGTGGTACGGCGGGCCCGCACCTACTGTGGCTGGCCAACCACAGGGCAAGAGTCTCCCCCACAGCCCCGTCGAACTGTGGTGACGATCGGGCTGCCAACCCGCCTGTTTTCCTGGGACGCCACGAGGACACCCAGCGGCACAGGTGCCAAGACGGTCCAATAAGCCCCCGAGGCGCCGCAAGAGGGCTCCAAGAATACCGCCAAAGGACCCAATGGTTCCATGTTGATTGGTGGAATGTGTTGGCGATCTCGCCTTTCCAAGCTTCTACGCTCGTACACAGCCCAAGAGGCCCTCCCAAAATCGCCCCAAGACGGCCCAAGGGGCCCCCAAGAGGGCCCAAATAGAGCCCAAAAGGGCCCCAAGACGGCACAAGAGCCCCACCCGAGAGGGCCCCAAACGCATCCAAAAGCGCCCCATGAGAGGCCCCCAGGTAGCCGGGTCAACCAACTGGGCCTCGAGAGGCTTCTTGAAGCCTCCTGGACGCGCGCGAGAGGCCCCAAGAGAACCCAAGAGGCATCGAACATGCATCCAAGAGGATCCCGAGAGACCTCCCGAAAGACCCCAAGAGGCTGCCAAGGGGCTTCCAATCAGACCGGCACCGTTACACACGGGGTGCGGAGGGGGGGGGCATCACGCCATCGCTCCCCCTGCGGAGCTCCTAAGACGGCCTCGGACAGCCAACGCCCGCTTCCAGTCCCCCATACGGCCCTACAGTGTGGGCGCGGCCGCAAGAAACCCTCGCAAGAAACCCAACCCTGAGAACCCGTGCGCGAGGTGCACCTGAGGGGAAACCTGGAGCACCCTGAACGCCGCAGCTCCTTCAATGGCTGCGGGAAGTCACCGCGCAGCGCGAGGAGAGAAGAAACCCAGGGTACCCTGACGAAACTCAGATGGTTTCTTGATGGGCGCCCCCACTGTAGACGGCTTCTCAGTGGCCCAAGGAGGTCAAATGGTCGCAAGAGGGCACCCAAAACGGCCCCGAGGGATCCCCAAGACGGCCCTGACAGACAAAGACGGCCACGGGTCGCGCCAGGACGGTCGAAAAAGTATCCCAGCACGGCCCACGGGGGCTCCGAACACGCACGTGTCCAGGAGGGACGGAATCATCATGGAAACGTGCATTGATACCGAAAGTTGCGAGCGCCTCTTCGGGTTTCGCAGCCTCCAGGGTCCCAGGATCGTGACAAGACGTTGTCGAAAGAGCCTAGCACCGTCAACCCGCATAACAAGGATGGGCATCCTTCCCAAGGGTACCCTTGCATCCTTGCCTCCTGGGTCCATCCTTGGCCACTTTCGTTGGCCGCGCTCCGCTCGAAAAGCTTCGAAATGGGTGTCCAAGGCCCCAACATCCTCATCGCGCATCCTTATGATACGGGCCAGCTGTAGAGGCCCAGTGCAGCCCAACAGGGGGAGGCCAGGCTGGAGTGGGCAGAATGGGTGCAGGCCAAAGGAGGCCTTTCGGAGGAACCGAACACGGCCCAAGAAGGTTCCCCACGGAGCCATGATCGCTCCGGCCATGGGCACAACGAACCAGCTGCAAGAAGAGATTGCAAGAGGGCCCCTACGGAGCCCGAAGAGCCCGATTAAGATTGCCCAAACGTGGGCCCGAAAGGCATCGACCACAACCAGAGGGGCCCAGCTATAGCCGTTATGGGTGGTCTTCAGAGCGATCCGAACAAAATAGCACTCCTGCCCCGCGAAGGCGGAGGAAGAGGAGAAAGGGGGGAGTAATAGCAACCCGAACAACGGGAGGAGGAGGAGGACGAAGAGGAGGAGCAAACGGAGCCCTGCGGAAAGGCGGAGGCGGAAACGCACTCGTCTTTTCATTATTGATCTCCCGACCCCACTGCCTTATCCTGATTATCGTGCAAGCTCACAACTGCTGTTGGCAGATGTATTGGAAGCCTCTCCAGTCAGGGATTCTGTCTCACAACGGCGACCCCCAAACATTTCGAAAAAACGGCTCCATGAGGGAGAGCACAGCCAACTGTTGTGTCTGGGGTTTTGCTTCCCCCTCGGACCATTCCTGCTCTTGAGTTCCCTTGGGCCCATAACTCTTCATGGGCGACGCGTGGGCCAAGATTTCAGTCGAAGCGGAGCGAGCCTTCAATATCTTGTGTTTTAAACATACATTCAGAGCTACATCGAACATAAAACTGACTCCAACCACACAACATAGCATAGCTTTGCACATGGTTCCGTGGCACATCCGACCTCCGCATACCAACATAAGACGGGCCGGCAGCGCGATATCAAGCCGTTGTGTGGGAGGCAAGTCATACACATGCCCCTCCTCGTGTAACTAAGTGCTGTGAGGGCCTGGCAGAGCATCTGGAGACATTCTCAGACAACGCTAGTCACATGTGCGTTTCTAGACTGACAAGAAAAGGAACGCCGTATTGCATAAAACGCGAATGCCACGTGTTGGACCACGGCTGCACCGAAAAGGGGGTCGCATACATACATACATACATACATACATACATACATACATACATACATACATACATACATACATACATACATACATACATATACATACATACATACATACATACATACATACATACAAACCTTCATAACACAGGACTGCGTTATGGTGACGGGTACGTTACTGCGCATTAGACATGTGTATACCACTGCCACAAGCAGTCCGCTACAACCTGGGATGTCGGCATGAAGGCGTTGCGATGGGATCGCCTGACAAGTGGCGTCCCCAAGAGTCACCCCCAGAGGCCGATCCCTCAATCCAGCCGGGAACGCGCAGGGAGAACGGAAAACCGTTCGGGCCCCCTCGGGGCACACCATAGCGTGACAGATCACGCGTCCGCACTGAAGCATATCATATAACACCACAGCATGATGTAACGAAGTGTGCCGCATTCAGGCACACATGTTGCACTAGAGTCTAAACCAGAACATCCTGTGGCTTGATATATCGCCGTATACATCTCCATCGCCATAGCTACATTAAACACCACGGCTGCGGGCACCACATCATAGTATCACAACATTATGCGGGGGTCAAGCCTGGGAAACCAGAGTGCAAGAAAGAGGTCGATTGGAAGGTGAAGAGGGGGTGAAGTGAATAGGAGAGACGAAAGGGGGGGAAGAGAAGGAGATGGATGGAGAATACCGACCGGCATTGCCCGGGAAAACAAAAGCACCCACCTCCAGGATGTGAAGGAGAAACCGTGACCGCTGTCAGTTCCCCAATGAAGCTTTGCCCGAGGGTCAATACTCATGTCGTTCCGTGGTGCTGTGATGCCAAATCACCGCTGGGCCTCCGGGCCTTCTCCCGGGATGTTATGATTATTTGAGTGTGTCTACTGGCCGCCAAGCGCTGTGATATGTTATGCTTTGCCATGTGCGGCTATGCGATTCTGTGGTATGCAATGGGCAGCGCCATGCTACAACGTGATGTACAATGAAGTGTAGTGGTATGCTGTGATGTGGTCGTGTCTGCCAGGCTGCATCATGCTATGCGACGCAATTCTGCAACGCCGTGGGATGCCAAACGGTGTGACGACATGCGTTGCGATGCTATGAGCTAAATTGCAGCTTCTTTCGTTGCATCGCAGACCATTCAATTGCACTGCGCACTTAATTGCACTGCGCCCGTATGCCTTCACGGAAAGCAGTACCCCGACGTCCACCACCATTGGAAGCAGCACTCTGGGCTTAGGGTCGTGCCAGGAATATGCAAACGTCCGCCCATGTAAACTCATCATGGGGCATCCTTTCGCGTGGGCAGCCCGCGACCGCACTTTCGTGTTGCGGGGCCATCGCGCCCACGATCGCTCAAGGCTCGCTCCAGAGAAAGCCTAAATCCCGAAAGACGTCCACCTCTCGTGGGGAAAAACCATACGGTCACGATGCCGCTGCCTCCCCGACCCCTCCCGGGGTGCGCTCCGACCAGAATCCGCGAATCCAGCCGTGGCGATGAGGGCCTCCCAGGCGGCCCAAGAACGGGAAAACGAGGAAGGGTGCAGGCGGAGCCGCCAGCTGCCGCGGACCTCCCGCCGCACCCCGCCGAGGGCGCTGCGGGCTCGACCCCCCGAGGGCGGGGGCCCCCCGCCCCCGGCCCGCGGCCCCGCGTCCGGCGCAGAGGCCGAAGTGAGAAGAGGGGGGGCAGCCTGTTTGAGACAGGGCGGCGTGGGGTCGTCGCCGTCGTCGCTCGCCTCTCGTCGTCGCGCGCGCGCCTCTGCTCTCTCCCCGTCCTGCTCTCTCTCTCTCTCTCTCTCTCTCTCTCTCTCCTGGCTGCCCTGCGCATCCCTGGAGTCCCGCCCCCACCCCCGCGGATGGAGGCCGGCCGCCGGGCTGGAAGAGCACACTGCCACCGCGGAGAGCGGGCGCGGACCCTGGGGTGTGGGGGGGGAGGTATCGGGGGATGTGGAGGCCCCAGTCGCTGGTTTGGGAGGGTGTTCGACTGGACCAGAAATGAGGGGCCCGAGCCTGGGGGGGGCGTCCATCCTCGCTAGGGGTGCATCCGAATGGGCACCTGGGTGTATCCCAGGGTTCGCCCCCTTGTCTGGACGGCCGACCTCTCCGAGCAGAACTCGGGGAGTGCGGGGGAAGAAACACCGCCTGCGAAAAGCCACCAAGACCGCCACTCCACAAACCTCTCCCTGGGTGCGCTCTGGCCACGGGCTCCGCGGCGAATCCAGGCGTGGCATCGACGGAAGTGATGGACCTATTTTCCACCACCACCATAAGTTGGAGGGGGAAGGAGGTGGAGACCGAGGAGGAGGAAGAAGGGGAGGACGAGGAGGCCCTCCTTCTCCTCCTACTTCTGGTGGCGACGGTGAGAAACAAGCCCACAGGAAGGGCAGCGGCATCCGTACCTCCTGCTTCCCCGGGGCTCGGGGCGCGCGGGGCGCCTGGGAGACGAGCGAGGAGGAGTACATCGCGGCCCGCCGCGGCCCGCGGCCCGCGGCACGCCCCTCCGTGCCCCCCCCCCTGGCGGCACTGCGCGGCAAGCGGGAGGGGGGGGGGCCTCACCCGCCCCGCGCCGTCCTCCTCTCGCGGCGGCGCGCGCGCGCGCGGGGGGCACAAGGAGGAGGGGTTGGAGCACGACCCGCCCGCCCGCGCGCGCGCGCTCCGTGCTCCTCGCCCCCCCCCTCGCCCTGGCGGCGGCACTGCGCGGCAATGGGGTCCTCGCCCGCCCCCCGCGCCGTCCTCCCCTCGCTGCGGCGCGCGCGCGAGGGGGGGTGCAACCGGAGGGGGCACGCCCGCGCCCGCGCAGCGCGCGCGCGCCGAGGCTCCTCGGCGCGTGCTCGGCGGCGCTCCCTCCGCGTTCCGCGGCAACTGGCCATCGCTCGGACGTCCATTCCCTCTGCTTTTTTCGGTTTCGTGCGCGGTCTTTCTCGATGATCAAGGATGCTCCTCGATGGTCCTCGCCGAAGGAAAAATGCACACGTCCGAGCGATGCCAAGCGGGAGCCCCAGCCGCCCCGGTGCGGAGCTCAACGCGCAGGCCCCGAAGGCGTGCGTCTGGCGAGGGGGCGGTCGCCAGGGCGGTGGCCAGCGCGTGCCACGCCAGCGCGCACCGTGGGAGCACAGACGTCTTGAACACGGCACGCGCTGCGCCTCCGCTCCCCAGAGTTCCAAAGGCTGCTCATGCCATACGCCGGAGCGCGTGGGCGAAAGAAGACACGGCCGGCTGAAAAAATCAAAACGGAAGGTTTTCACGATTTTCGGCCTCTAGCGGCCCTCCCCGGGCCCCCCGGGGCCGTCAAAAAAAGACTCAGGATGAAAAACTGGAGCTGGGACGGGAGCCCCTCGATCCATCTTGCGGGCTCTCGCGAGTCGACGCCAGTCGACGCCGGTCGGCGGTGCATCGACGCGGAATGGGCGCTCCCTCATCGGGACCCAGATGCTGACGTATGCGCGAGTGCAGTCGAAGGACGGAATCGCGCGGACGCGCAAGGCCCCCAAGGCCCTGGCATCCTCAGCGTGCGTCCTCATCACACGGGTCGACCCCGTGGGGCAGGCAGAGGAAGGCCATGGCGACACTCTGCGAGCGGGGCGCGGCGAGCAGAAGAGGCCAAGGATGGGCCCAAGGGGAAGGCTTCAAGGGTAAAGATGTTCCAACCGACTGTGGCCTGAATCACCAGACAACAAAATTCGAGCACCAAGACTGTATCGAAACTGGAAAGTTTTCACGTGTCGGGCTCTGGGAGGCGATACTCGTTCCGACTCTGTTTCGATACTTTTCTGGGTGCTCGGAGTTCTGCTGGGACTTGGTTCTCGAGCACGCTTGGAGCAACAGAATGCAAGGGTAACCTGGGAAAGCCGCTCATCCTTACTACGCGGGTTGACCGTAACGCTGCCATTAAGTCGGGCCTGTCCCTCTACAGGGGGATTTCGGGCGAAAAATTTCAAATACCCCCAGAAATACCCAAACATGCTCAAAAATACAAAAAATAGTCCGCACGCTATTTTTTGACTATTTTTGAATACTCCCCCTGTAGAGGGACAGGCCCGACACAACGCTACCAGTCGGGACACAATTGGCATAACTGGCGGGACACGGGCAGGGCACCGCGCCAGACGCCCGCCCTTCGCCGGGCCCCCAGCGGCCGAGGGCAGTGCGCGCGCGCAGGCGTCGCGCGCACCGCCACGCTCGACACGGGCACGAACCGGGACTCTCAGTGTCCTCCTTGTGAGCGTTCTCTTGTCCGGCGTTTCAGCAGTGGGCGGATGGGGGAGGGGGGGGGGATTCTGGCTCCGGACCTCTGCTCGATGCGACTGTCTGCAGCAGTGCGTCCTGTCGGGGAGACTCCACCTGCTTGAAACAGGAGCCAAAACAGCCAAGATCTACCCCGGGGGGGGGGGAGGGGGAGGGAGCGGTGCGAGGGCCCGCGCCGATCGGCAAAACAATCAATGAAAAACAACCACCTTGGAGAAGGAGGGGCACGAAGGAAGCGACGCTCGCGCAATGCCAATTCGTACGTGCTTGTCCTCTGCAAGAGCAGCCGGCAAGTCCACTAGGCACTGCGTCCCTGAGGCGTCCCACCGAACCACCGCTTCCCGGTGGCACAGCTTCAGACCCTGAGATCCGGCCGATACCAAATTTGTCACACTGGACGTCGTCGACAGGTTCTGGGCCCCAGGACCATCGCAGATCGATCCGGCTTGGAAAATTCCCCAGAAAGACGGGGTCGAAGGCTCCAGTCTTGATTTTCCGCGTTGTTGCATGTTTCGACAATGTCGGATCTCAGGGGAGACGCTTTGAGCCCCCAGCCTCAAGCAAGCACGAACGCAATGCAGGGTGCCTCACAGGAGCGAGCCTACGCGTGCGCGCAGTGCGCCAAGAGACTCGTGTGCGATCTGCAGCGCCACGGGTCGAACGTGATGGTCCGATGGCAATGGCGCGCCGTTGAAGATGTGACAGCCCCATGGCGGCACCGAAGACGAAGGTAAAATGGCCATCAGCCGCGGTAGCGGTGGTGATGATGCCAGGCAGTGGCGTCGGCGGCCTGAGAAGAGGATGTCTTGATCCAAGCGGGCAACAGACTGCCTGTCGCGCTGCAGCTCAGGAACGAAAGACCACGCACTCCTCACAAATCGATCGCGCAAACTTTCCACATCCGGAGGTTTACATGGAGGGAGCCGGTGAGCACCGGTTCCAAGTGGGTGCTTCACAGGCTGCTTGGCGGCAACGGTTGGGCCGTGGAAAATCGCTCCCAACGTTCTGGGATAGCTGATCTGGATGTGTGGGCAAGCTTCCGTAGAGCACATGTCATTGAGAATCCACTCGGCTGTGCATGGACAGAGCTTGGGTAAGGTGAGATACTTGCCCGCGTGCCCTCCCGGTGACTTTCGCAGGGGCCTTGAAGGCGAGGCTTGCAGGTGGACGTGGATGGACACGCGGCCAGCTCCAGGCGCGCGCGGCTTGAAAACATGCCTACTGCCACCGCAGCGTCCCAGATACGAACGTAGAACTCGAGCTGCCATACATCCTGACGAGCGGCCTGAAGCTCCAGTCGGAGTCGCCGACCAGGGCATGACTGCTCAAGACCCTCGCCTGCTCCCGGAGGTCCGAGGCCCCGCCGCCCCGAGCGCGCCTCACCGAGGCCAGCGTTACCTCCAGGCCGCCTGCACAGTCGCAGCGCAGGCAGATCCGCAGCTGCTCGTCGTTGGCGAACGTGGCCCCGAAGTCCACCTCCGAGCAGTCGCGCTCGGCGCCGATCGCCACCCGGAGCGGGAAGCTGTGGTAGTGCTCCGGAGGGACGAACGACGGCACGGGCACAGACCTTCGGCGGTCCGCACGGGTCTCCGGGATCGGCGGTGGGCCCCCCCTCGCCAGGGCTTTGGACGCCCGCAATGGGTGCGGAAAGGATGGGCACAATGCCCAGCAACAAATGTTGTCCCAGACCACCAGCGGCCGCTGTTGGGCAGGCAGCCTTCTGTCTCGAATGGACACAGGCCGCGGCGGCGTGGACAGCGAGTCCGGTTCAAAATGAACCAGATCCGCTGTTGGGCATTGCACCCATTCTTTCCGTGCCCATTTCGTTCGTGCAGAAGGGAGGGGGGTCCAGCGCCGCTGCGTGAAATCCCGGCGAGCATCCGACGGTCTCTGCTGCTGCATCTTTTTCGTCCTTCGATGCTCCCCGTCGGAGTTCCAGACGACCGCCGTCTTCAGGACCGGCTGGGCGGCGCTCCCGCCGCGGCACCCTGCCTGCGCCCCCTGGGCGCCGAAAATGAGGGGCCGATTTCACACCACCTTTGCCATAGGGGGGAAGAGAAGGAGGAGGGGGAGGAGGAGGAGGAGGAGGAGGAGGAGGAGGAGGAGGAGGAGGAGGAGGAGG